TTGAAGCACGTCGCGTGTCGAGCAGGTTCTGTTGAGGCTCTGTTTATGTTCGCTGGTCAATTTTTAAACATGTATAAAAGCTTAAATTTAATCTCTTCATCATATAAAGCAATCGAGTCTCTTCAGAAAATTTGGACTAAACTGTTCATTTCATATGGATTAGTTTTACAATCTCTTTATGAACTTTTTGAAGCGTCAAAGTGGTAGTTGCGTAGTTGTCAATGGAGGGACAGAAAGCTCTCAGATTTCATCAAAAAAACTCTTCATTTGTGTTATGAAGATGAACGAAAGTCTCATGGGTTTGGAACGACATGAAGGAGAGTAATTAATGCCAGAATTTTCATTTTTGGGTGACCTTTAATTTGGTTTCAGTTCACTTTTAATGGAATTACTTTACACGAATTAAACATTTCATATACTTTATCACTAGAATAAAGAAAGAAACAATCTGTTAGGGGTGTAACCACAATATATCACAATACAAAATATAAATTACCCAAAATAAAAATTACTTTGTGAGAGTTGATTATAATGTATAATAATTCAATGGGGGAATATTTTTGGGTCCTGATTATGCCAAATGACTTACCAGTAACCTGACCAGTAAAAAGTGTCCGACATTACTTAATATATATATATATAGTCAGAAAAAGTGCAAGAATATTTGTCTAAAATAAATCTGTATTTTCAGCTTCAGAATCATGAATATTGTTATTATTTGTCTTGGAGTATCGCAATAATATGTATCGAATCGTGACACGAGGGTATCGTTACACCCCTAAATTACGAAAGTGCTATGCAATCATTTTAAACATTATATAGAACCTTTTGTCGAGTGGAAAGAATATTAAAGATTCTTCATGGAACAAAAGATGATTCATTACGGCAAAAAAAAAAAACCTCTTCTGTGCAAAGGAAAATCTATTTTTGTTTCTTATACTCTCTTGACAAGACAAATTCTCAACTCCCAAATTATCTGCATATTTTTGGGTAGGTTGATCACTAACTTGCTGTTTTATGGCACTATAGCTTACCATAAAACACAAGGAAAGTGTTAGCGTATAGGAATGACGAGATAAACCACAAGATATTCAGCAGCTGTCTGCAGGGCACATTCAGGTTGAATCAACGCACATAACACATTCACTCCTCCCTCGGCACCGTGAACCATTATCACTATATTTAAACAGTGTTACGTGTTAATGAGGCACTATAGGGGTGTATGTACGTAATGAGCAATCTGTCACAGATCACGCTGGCAAAACATTATGATAATGCTGGCCTGTTAATGTTGAAGAACGCAGAAGGCTCATCCTTCTAGTTACTTGCTTAGTGGAGTGAGAGAAATGGGCTATTGATATAATGAATATGAATGGGAACACAAGTCCCACATGCAACACAATCACAGATGGGTTACAACGAAAAAGACGACAGCTGACCGTCTGACACTTGTGGTGCTAAGTCAATTCAGTTTTCAATTCATGTCTACAGTGCTTTAGGCATATTGTTTCAAAGCAGCTTTACAACAAAAAAAAATATCGTTGGGAGATGTTTACATGCCAAATATTAACAAGTTACATCATATTTACATGTTTATCCAAATGAATTATTCAATCACATTAAACTGAGGACAAAAAGTGGGTGCTTGAGGATATGAAACCCTTAATTAAAAATGATGGGTGTCCCTAAAGTCTCATGTTTGAAGAGCTGCCAGCAGAAGAACAGTTTGATAGACAATGTTAGCATATAGGGCTGAGAACAAGAAGGTATGTGGTTTATTGCACCTGATGTTGAATGGAAGATCTGACACAGCAAAATGTGCATAAAGAGGCTGATCTGAGCTCCAGGATCTAAAATGCAGCATCAGAGGCTTATGCTCTCAACTTTAGGCAACAAAACCTCTTTTTTATTTTTTAGACCAATTGGATGGGTGGTGAATGAGATTCTGAAAGGGATTTCACTCTCCAGTTGTCCTCTCCATAATTTGATTTATTTGACTCATTTGGTTAAACACTCTGAAGGTCTTTCAAAAGCTTATCAAATACAAATGAAGGGGACATTTAAATATGTGCATATATTGAAATGCATGTTATATGGAAACGCACAGAGAAAGCACTGCTTACCTGATATTCAACTAACAGGTGGTAATTTGCAATTGGTTCCACTCCTTCAAGTTCATAATTCTTCCATCCCTCTTGCATTTGTCATCAATGTCTATGGGAAAACGAGCGATCAGCCTCCAGATCATAACGACCACTAATGCACAGTCTCCATCTGCAACCGCTTGGCAAAATCCTCCAAAGCGAGTCCTTTAAACTTGCTCTTGGTTTATATTCCCACAACAGGCGAGACACATCTGCCGTCTTGTTCTCCAGCATCCTCCGCAATCTGAGCCATGCAGCTTTCCATCTACATATCTCCTGCTGTCGCTAGGCATCCTGAGCAATAATAATGACCGGCTGAAAACCACAAGTAGCGATGTCCGATTCGCGAACGAACCGTTCTTTGAACTGGCTCTTTTGGATGATTCGATCGAGCCGATTCGAAAGCGTTTGTAAGCTAAATCACTCGCATTTGGAAGAACGTTCGAAATGTGTTCGAAATGCAACGCTCGTGTACTGCATACTGCGTTTTGTATTTTTTACTTTTTTATTAGTGTGAAGACTACAATAATAAACATTTTAAACAGTAGTAGGTCTAGGCTAGAAACATGACCTCATTATGTTGCATGATTAGTCTAATTGAGTGTGTAAGGGAACATTTTCAGATATGGTTCTGCATTTTTGATTCAAATTAGTGTAAAATGACTTAACTTTAGGCAGTCTGATCAAACAATGAGAGATGGTAAAAATCAATATCACTTCAGTTCATTCGTCATCACCCTAGAAATCGATGAGTGCACTAGGTTACAGTGTTCACAGCACTGCCAAAGCCATTTGAGTATTCCATGCCAATCTATGCAAAACAGTGCATAATGCAGATAGACAAGGATATTTTATCTAATACAGGCTACGTTTGGAATAGGATAGCCTACCACTACTCTTCTTAGCCTATAGAATGTAGTTAATGTACAAAATATACCCTACCGGAAGTAGCAGGAAGCATAAACTACATTGCATATGAAACAGTGCGTACAAAAAATCGCATACTGTCTGAGTAGGCACTACATTTGAAATTGTACTTACTTTGCGACCGTTAAAAAGTAATGATAACAATAATAATAATAATAATAAGTTTAATTTATATAGCGCCTTTCCCAAGCTCAAGGACGCTTCACAAAGACAGTAGGCCTACTATTTAGTATATCATATGACTTACTGCGTCAGTCGCTTCACCTCCATTCACAAATCCTCTCCCGTGGCCTCATGGGATAGTAAAGCGTCCATCGTCCGCACACTTCCGTTATCTCGACGGAAGTAGACTAGTCGTCACCTGGATACTTTTCACCTAATGTTTTTTTTTTTTGAACACTACTATTGTTTTTCGCCTACTAGTATTAGTACGAATAGTTGGGAAGTATTCGATTTCGGACGCAGTGCTAGTCCTCTCTAATCGTACGTTTAAAATTAAACTGAGGGGGATGATGTTGTGACCATAAAAACCTAAAAGAAATGTAATATAAAAACCTATGTAGGCAGCTCTGAAAACTTTCGTGAGCCATGACTCAATCGAATTAGGGATTTTGTGTTTTGAACCGAATCATTTGAAGAGAATCTTCCGAACGAGCCGATTCGCTAACCGAACCTGCCTATGCTAATCACAAGCGCCTTTTCTCCGTCTCTCTCTTTTCCACCGCTTCATTCCTTCATTGTTCCCCGACGCTAAACATCTGTCCATTTTAGTCTGAATATAAGAGCATAATATTTATAAAGGAAAGTCAAAGCTGAGGAGGAAAACGGTGCTCATAAGCTCGAGAGAGTGCCACTTTAAGGCTCCGTCATGTGCGTGATTCTCAATGCGGTATTATTTGGTGAAGGAGGCTGAGGAACCCACAGGCTGTGCGAGAACATTCCCCACAAAGCTTTACATAACCAACGATGTTTCTACACGTTACAAATGATCAGTTTTAACAATTAGTTCACAGGCACGTGTTTGAGTGTTGCTGGTTAGACTAGCTACAGAAAAGACTCGTTGTGATTGGAAAGAAATGAAGAGCTGTTGATGTAGGCTACAGCTAGAAAAATATATAGGTAGCCTAGCTAGTCAAAAATACATGCAGTCAGCATGTTCTCTGTCTGCTCTGGTTCTTATTTATCGCTGACAAGCAAATTATTTAATAATAAAAAAAAGGAATATTTGGCACATACAGGCACACTTTCTTTCTCTACTGTATTCTCTGATTTTCAGTATCTACAAAGGGGGGTCAAAGATAACGAAAAGGTTACAATTTTGACTCCCACAATGGGTTATCCATGAGCGATCACCATTGTGCCTTTGAGCACGGCACTTAACCTCAGGTTGCTCCAGGGAGACTGTCTCTGTAATAACTTTAGATAAAAACATCTGCTAAAATGACTTGCTCATAGTCTCCACAGCAGATTCACATTAAAACTATTGAGTCATCAAACATTCAGATCATCTAGAATGGCTGATCTCCTGAACCAGAGGTTGTGAAGGAGCCTGATTGTGCTGCACTCACATTAATTTCCCTTCTTTCAGCAAACACAATCCAGGCTCTGTTTGTCAATACATTCATCCGGCCCCATGTAATTGAAATCAACAATGCATGCATAAACAGTTGACGAGTTGACATATAATAGCAGCTAAAAATCATTAAAACTAATGCAATGCATTCAAATATTCATGCAATGCACTGTTTTAAATGCACTTTTTTGCAGTGTTTTTTACCACCAAACATGCAGACAGAGAAATACAGACACATTTATTCATGTCATTGAGAAGAGAGAAACGAATGCCCTTGCTTTTACGACGCCATGAACAAAGGATAGCATAACCTTCATTTCTGTAATTAGTTTTGGCAGATAAGAAATCTGACTTACAATTAAAATTTCCCCCAGAAGATGTAGAAAATCTGCTTAGTGTGTGCCTGTTTTAATTACTCAAGACAAGAGTTCCCATTGAGAGGTGCTTCCTTTATATTCACACGCAGCAATGATGTGATGATGCTTATCTTTTATCTCTGTGTGATGCTTTCACCTATTCACTTTTCTTATTGATGCTCCTTGAGCAGAAAATTAATCCAAATATCATATACAGTTTGCAATCACTTTGACTCAAGATGTGTCTGCATGAACTTAACTCTAAACACACTCTTTGTTCTGTTTTCACTGGAACACCCATCTAAAATCAGCTTTCCATTTATGAATGGTTTCTAGAATTTTCTAAATGTAAACGACTCAGATGTGCTAATGGTTCTATCAGCATAAAAATGTAGTGACTTTACAACACAATGAACAGTGACTGAATCCAAAAACCAAGACACTCACAGTAAAAAAAAGTATGACATTTTTAGAAAACAAAATCAAAATGGTATTCATAAGAAAGATACAGCACAAACACAAGGGAACATGTTAGAATAGTACATTTAAAATGTAACATCCAGGGTATAAAATGGCTCTAATCAACTGTTATTGATTTTATGTGTCTCCTTATCATTTAAACATAGCAATTGAACTTTTTTTATTAAAACTTGATTATATTTTGTATGTGTGTATTTAACATATTCCGTTTTAGTCTTAATTTGCATCTCCACCCATTTTATTTTTTATATATTGAAAAAGAAATAAATTACACAATACATAACTAACCCTGTGTTAGAAGCAGCGAGTACTGAACACAAGAGGGCGCTAGTGAACTGCGTGTAAGCCGTTTATCAAACTTTAACTCTGAATCCAGAACTATATATATATATATATATATATATATATATATATATATATGAAATACTTGTTGTATATATTGTATATAATAATATATTTTTGTATGGTTTGATTTCAAAACTAGCATAACAAATAGCCTATTTAAAGATTACAAGAGGGTGGTGATGACAAAATGAACACTTTTAAGTAATGTCTAGTAAAATGAAACGCCACTAACATAAAGACTATATATATATATACAAACACATAAATCATTTAGGACCAAGGTCTTTAAAGATTACAAGTGGGTGGTGACAAAATGAACACTTTTAAGGAATGTCTTGTAAAATTAAACGCCACCAACATAAAGACTATATATATATATATATATATATATACAAACACACAAACACAAATCATTTAGGACCAAGGTCTACTTTGCCTTTGATGAATCGTTATTTTAAAGGTCTTTCCTGATTCAATCATTAAGGAATAATGGTATTTCAACAATCTGTGTGCTTTGACCATCTGTGACAAGTCTGAACATTATTTCACACAACCCTAGAATGAACACCTGTCTTCCTTTCCCTGACCACGCCCCCTCAAGTCACACCTCTATTTTGATTGGGCCGGAGGTCATGAATATGCAGATGTCAAACGCTCAGCCCCTCCCTTTGCACCTGATTGGAAGTATTTACTTGTTTTTTTGCACAGAGGTGCTGGAGTTTTTAGAGCAGCTCAGCGCTGGAAGATGAAGCCCTGCTGGACCGAGCAATAAGGATTACAGCGATTTGACTTTATAAAAGAGAAGAAAGGACCGTTGTATCTGCCAGAGAACTTTATACGTATTTCAGGATGCCGCGCTCATTCCTAGTAAAGAAGCATTTCAATGCAGCCAAGAAACCGAATTACAGTGAACTGGAGAGTCCAACAGGTAATAGACTTTTTGGTTTGATGAACAGTGAAACTTTTAAACTTTTTAGTGTGTTGCAACTCTTCGTTAAGTTTATGGCACTTTGCGTGGCAAAAACACGAACAAGTTCTCTCTTGATATTTGTATTCGTACATGAAGACGAAATAGCCTACCGAATAGGCTAACTTACATATCTAATTAAATGAATTCAAATGATCCTTATGGGATCAGTTGCCACTGCAAAAATAGCACCTTCATGTAACTCTGTTTGATTCCATTATGATTCTTTTAGAAGCGTTTATCTAATTTAAAAACCCAGTACACATCTTTTAGAAATTGTCTATTTGTCGAAGGATAGCCATATCATATAAAGTCACTCAAATGGATAGTTGGTACATAACATTAGAGTTTATATGAATGTTCAAGGGAAAGTGTTTATCTTCGGTCTGTGTAAAAATCCCATTTATTTCCTCAATGAAGATGGCCATAAAACCTTGCATGCATGATCATATGGTTGAGTGAACTAATATGATTGCATTTCCCCTTTTATTGCAGTGTTTATTTCCCCATATGTCTTAAAAGCCCTCCCGGTGCCTGTCATACCTCAACCTGAAGTGTTAAGCCCATTGGCGTACAACCCGATAACAGTGTGGACTACCAGCAACCTGCCCCTGTCACCCCTGCCCAGCGACCTGTCCCCCATCTCCGGATACCCCTCGTCCCTCTCCGACACGTCCTCTACTAAAGACCACAGCGGCTCGGAGAGCCCCAGGAGCGATGAAGACGAGCGGATACAGTCCACCAAGCTGTCGGACGCTGAGAAGTTTCAGTGCGGCTTGTGCAACAAGTCCTACAGCACATATTCGGGACTCATGAAACACAAGCAGCTGCACTGCGACGCGCAGACCAGGAAGTCATTCAGCTGCAAGTACTGCGAGAAGGAATACGTGAGTTTAGGGGCCCTGAAGATGCACATAAGGACACACACACTGCCCTGCGTTTGCAAAATGTGTGGGAAAGCTTTCTCCAGACCTTGGTTGCTGCAAGGACACATTAGGACACACACAGGTGAGAAGATATAATGCATGCTATTGGAAATATTTGCAATATAATTACGTTGGCAGCATTGCATGATGCAGCAGTACGCTAACCTGGATTGTTTTTTGTCCGTCAGGTGAGAAACCGTTTTCGTGCCCCCACTGCAGTCGCGCATTCGCGGACCGGTCGAACCTCCGAGCTCACCTGCAGACTCACTCGGACGTGAAGAAATACCAGTGCAAGAACTGCTCCAAAACCTTCTCTCGCATGTCGCTGCTGCACAAACATGAGGAATCTGGCTGTTGCATTGCACACTGAGAGAGAATCACACACGCACACACACACACACACACACACACCAAGTGCCGCAGATTCTTGGACCTGCTCTTCCTCTGTCAGTATACTCGTGGATACAAATGCATCCTTGACGATTTTAAAAAGCATCGCCCCGGGGTCTGAATGAATAGTGTTTGTGGAGTCATTAAAAGATCAGATTCCACTCAAAACGCATAAAACTGACCCAAAACAGCCTTTCCGCTTCGAGTTTGGTTCCCGGAGAACCTTCGACACCCTCGGACAGGAAAAGGCACAAAAGAAAAGACTGTTTGCCAGATCCCTGGTGGTCTGAACTCACTGACTAAGAAGCCTTTTCATTTCAGTGTAAACGCAGATTCTTTCAGCATGTCATGCGCCCGTCATGTGCCTTCCATTTCGACAGTATTTGCCCTGTTCGGGTTGGCTTGGTGTGTACTGTACATTTGTTTACGGATTTGTACTATTTGGGAGGTTTTAAATGTGTCGCCTCTCTAATAAGCAATAATTTATACTGGTTTATATCTGAATGTTAAATAGGTAAGACGGTCACCTTTTTTTCTACGTTTTTCTTTTCCGGTCAGATATTTCAAACCGTAGATGGTGGCAATCCAATGAGCTTGAGACCAAAGGAATAATTAATGCCATGTTTTTTTAAATGGGGAACAAGTGCAAAAAGACATTTTCTTGAATTTCAAAGTATTTTGTGCGGTCACAGCAATTAACCAGCACTCAGACATGCAATACTTTGCCGTGTGCCTTTTTTTCATCAGGAACTTCAGAGATTTTGACATGTAATTGTTTATTTGAATGTATATGACACTGATATGATTGTACTTTGTATTGCAAAGTGTAAATGAATGGTATGATTTTGTACAAAAAATAAAACTTTACACTTTTTTTGAATAACGCATCTGTAAGCAAGTCATCTTTTCATTACAAACCTGTTAAAGAAGGCTGTAGTTTACGCAATGAAAGTCAATTGGGTCCAAAACAACTATCCCTTTAAGGATTAAACAGCTGAATTGAATAACAATTAGCCTAATGTTTACATTTACATAGGGTTTGTAGTGTTATGCAAATGAATGGGCACTTAATGGAACATTAACAGGAACGTTTCTAAAATGAAAAGCGCTTCATTTCAATTTGAGCCTGTTTAGAAAATAGCGTTAAACGTGGTTGTGGAGGATGCAAAGAGCTGGTTTGTTAACTCCTCCTGAATTTGGAATATGGTTTGACTCGTTCCCACAGTTTACTTGAGTTCATCAAAGTGAAGTTTAAGCGTTTCATGATGCAAATGTGTTTGCAGTTTACTGTGGCGGGAAATGCAAGTTGTATAAACTACTGTCGTTCATTTAAAAGTCATGCTGGTGGAGATGCTATTTATATTCAGGATTCAAAGATAATCAGAGACAGTCATGGAAATTCGGTGCAAGATGTGGGAGCTATACAAGACAAAACTTTTGTTGCGCATCTCAATGAAATGTCCTCAGGAGGTCAACTCGTTTTAAAGTCTGAAGGCCACATGAACCTGTCCTTGCGAACCTGTTCGGCTCCCAAACAAATCCCAAATGTTACACCTCCTCCCTATGTTGATCTCACTTTGCTGCCAATTTCTTTGAAGACTCTGGGTCTCTGAAGGGTCCACTATAGTAAAGCCAGACTGGCTCTCACACATGTGAAAGTCCATTACTGGATTATTACTCACAAACCTCACAGTACACAGTGGGAACTCACAGGACCAGCGCAAACCAATCGCGTTTTCAAACATTCATCTACTGAATCTAATTCTGAACTGAATGACCGTTGGAAATAAGCAGCTCGTAACTGCATCTCTCAGGAAAAAAGGTACAAAAGCTGTCACTGGGGCTGTAACTTTTCAAAAGGTACACTTAGTGGTACATATTAGCACCTAAAATGTACATATTAACACCAAAATGTACATAATGAGACCTAAAATGTTCATATTACCACCTAAAATGGACATATTAGGACCTAAAATTTACATATTAGCTCCTGAAACGGACATATTAGCACCTAAATGTACATATTATTACCTAAAATGTACATATTAACACTTAAAATGTACATATTAGCACCTAAAATGTACATATTGACACTTAAAATGTACATTGTAGTATCTAAAATATACATATAACCACCTAAAATGTATATATTAGCACCTAAAATGTACATTATAGTATCTAAAATATACATATTAGCACCTAAAATGTACATATTAGCACCTAAAATGTACATATTGACACTTAAAATGTACATTGTAGTATCTAAAATATACATATAACAACCTAAAATGTATATATTAGCACCTAAAATGTACATTATAGTATCTAAAATATATTACCACCTAAAATGTACATATTAGGACCTAAAATGGACATATTAGCTCCTGAAACGTACTTATTAGCACCTAAAATGTACATATCAGCACCTAAAATGTACATATTAACACCTAAAATGTACCTATTAGCACCTAAAATGTTCATATTAACACTTAAAATGTACATTTTATCACCTAAAATGGACAAAAGTTTACCTTTTGAAAAGGTACAGCCCCAGTGACAGCTTTTGTACCTTTTTTTCTCAAATTTTAACCCAACTTCAACTTTCACTTTCAACAGTACATTTTTAATTACATTTTGGTTTGTCCATATTTGACCCAAATTTGGGTTGAAACAACCCAGTGTGTATATACTATATATATACACAAACATTTCTTGTGCATGTGCGTTACGAATGAGACAAAATGACTGAGTA